CCCCCCCCCCACTCTCTTCAAGGCTACCGCTACTATGGAACACTCCCTTTTATGATGAATAGTAGTAGCATCAGTCATCGAGAGTAGCCACGGAACACTATCTTTTCAAAACCCCATCGCTAACAGTCACAAGCGCCGGCTACGCCTCTTGAACATTACCCCGCATAACTCTTCTACACAACCTGAGCATACGATGGATGCCATCGTTGCCTTACCTCTAGGCAACTCAAATTGGGGCAAACCCCAGTTCAAGATTGATGACTATGATACGTATACGTCACTACACGAATTCGTAAGTTGATACCTTGTCGCACCGCACCGGGTCTTGTTCCCACGTACGTCGTCCCCCCCTCCACAATACTCACTCGCAGCTTATGCCTACGGACAATGACATCAAACATAGATGCCGCGTGAGCACTTTGAAGCTCGCGCTCAAAGCATTCACGAGGCCGTCGCTCGCTCCTACCCAACACCGCTCTTTGTCTATGTAACCTTTGCCATAACGTCCTTCGTCACCATCATGCTGGTGAGCGTGGCTGTCGTCAACGTCTCGGGTGTCTTCGACGTCAACTACCTCTTCCTTCCTATGCTACTTGTACTTGCCCCTGTCACCCTCGGAGTGCTGCTCCGATTCCGGCAGACTCACTACGAGGGAAAGGTAATGGAGAAAGTGGGTAACTACGTTTCGTTTCTCCTGCGACCAACGATAATCAGGCAGCTTGATATTTTATTGATCTGTCTTTTTTTTTTTTCCTCGCAATTTTACGTCAGTTCGAGATCGCCCTGGTTGCTGTCTTAAAAGACTTCAACACCCAAGACATCACGGCCCATTCCATCAAGTGGGCCTTCCGCAAGCGCGACGTCAGTCTCCGCTTGGGCCCGCCCTACCGGATTCTGCTATTACAGGCCGACTTGGAGGCTGAAGTAGACACACTACCAGCGTACGAGGGCACGCACCAGGATATAGTTGTACTTATGTCTCCTGAAGACGAAATGGAGGGCCACGACGATCGCTTGCCCAGTAGCTCCTCCACTTCCGCTCTGCCGCACTATAACCAGACTCTGCAGATGCGCCTGATCCAGTCGTCACCTCGACCTAGCGCAACCATGAGCGAGACCGAGCGCACTGTATCAGCCGCTGTGTCGGTTGAGTTAGATAGGGAACCGACAATGGTGGCACCCAATCAGGCGTCACCATCCGCCACTGAATCTTCTGTTACAGTTGAAACTGTGGACTCGGCGCCAGTGCCAGAGCTGGGGATGCGCACGATTGAGCGCCCACCTCCACTTGTGGTTAGGGAGGAGCCACCCGGGTACGACGTTGTCATACAGATTAATCACTAGGGACGCATCTTGACATTTAGATACCTAAAGGACAATCGAACAACCGTCCCCCTAAATGTACCTTCAGTTGTTAATGATCTTTGAAAGTTTGTAAATTGAAAGTGCCAACTTTGAATTTTTGAATAGTTTAGTAAATGGTTGGCAAATTAGAAATATGCTGGCTTGTAATGTGGCCTCACCTTGTAAGATTTAGAGAGTTAAAAGAGGATAGGTCTAGATATACACAGACAAATGCTAGTACTAATTCATCTATGCAAATGACAAGTTTCTGATACATCTACAAATCAGTGAGCCAAGAACTTTAGCTAAATGTTTAAAAACTTTAGATTACTTCAAAGTATTTTTTTCTTAAATATGCTATTAATATCAAAAAAAAAAAAAAAAATTACTTAGCTTATTTGAAAACTTGAAATAATATACATAATGTTATATTATTGATCTAATCTTCCTAGTGTATATAGTAGATTTTTTATAAAAATTTATTCTTTAATAAAAGAAAATAATAATGTATTCTAATAAAGTAAGCTAATGCAACGAGGTCGAGCCACTGTATCAACACACGCTGGCCATCCACCTTCTGGTGTTGGGATCGGAGCACCTGGGCACTGCAGGGTCACTAAACTATCTGGCTTCGTTTTACTATCCAGGGCAAATACGACCATCTGCGAGAACCGAAGCACCCGGACATTGCGTTGTCGCTGAATAATCTGACTATAGGCAGGGCAAATACGACGAGGCCGAGCCCACTGTATCAGCGAGCACTGCCCACATTTATTAGTCAAAACGTGTTTTAGGAACGAGGTCAGTCTAGCAAGCTTGCGATCGATCGATCGATTAGGCATCGCAAGATGTATATTAATTCTTTCGCTCACCCATCACATTCAACCTCTAAGATCCAGCGCAGTAGGTCACAAGCCAACAAAGTGTTATACGAGATTGGCGAACTCGGTCAATGGTCAATGATGATATTGTTCTATCCAAGAGATGATTTAGTAATAGTATTTTTTTTTTCTATACATTCAACACAAAAAGCTCGCATAGCTCAGTTGGTTAGAGCGTGGTGCTAATAACGCCAAGGTCGCAGGTTCGACCCCTGTTGTGAGCATGTTCTTTTTTATCTTATTATTTATTTCAACCCTAAATCTTGTTTTTCTTTATGTCGGTAAGAGGACTGGGATATGTGTTTTATCATTGACACAATACCACAATGTTATTTAAAGATATTAAGATAGTTTACTTATTCTTTTTATTTACTTAGCTAGAAATTTCTATTATTTTATTTTATTTTATTTTTTTAATCTTTTTTACTTATTTATTTTTCTTTTATAATAACTCTTAATTCTTTTTATAGATTTTATTTATTTATAATCTTTACTTTAATTTATATTATATAGAATTTTAGTAATACTTTCCAAAGTTTATTATTAGTATTGTGACAAATGTACTAATAACTGGTCATTCATTTATTCAAATATACCAAGTGAGAATGCTCAGAGTGTTAGACGCAATATCTCCCTTTGTGTATCCTTACTACAGCTACATGCTGTGCTCTTCAGGCTTTACTATGACTGATATTGAGATATTTTAAGACTCTGTACAAACTGATTTATTTAGATAGAAAATAGAGGGGTATTTATACAAAATTGAAGAACTAAAGAACAACTAATAAAGACTTTGCTATGAAAATACAATCCAATCATTGTGAAGAATACATAATGACTTTAGTGGTAGCATTTTGCAGAAATAAAGTCATCAAGCAGAAATAAAAGTCATCAAGCAGAAATAAAAGTTGTCAAGCAGAAATAAAAGTCATCAAGCAGAAATAAAAGTCATCAAGCAGAAATAAAAGTCATTAAGCAGAAATAAAAGTCATCAAGTAGAAATAAAAGTTATCAAGTAGAAATAAAAGTCATCAAGCAGAAATAAAAGTTATCAAGCAGAAATAAAAGTCATCAATGACTAAAAATAGAAGGGGACGGAAGGTTATAGTAACTCCTAAATCAAGCATAGTACTAAATTTGTGAAAATCAGGCAATTTGGGGGTTGGCTGTTACAGTATTTTCTAATATTAGTATTTTCTTTACTAAATTATTTACTTTTATAATCTATCTTATAACTTATTGAGCTTTTTTTTTTTTTTTTTTTCTTTTTTTAAGGTATAAGGGTGCTTTTTTATTTTTTAGAGTTTGTATTTGTTTGCTTTCTTTTTTTTTTTTTGTTTTTTTTTGTTGTTTTTTTTTTTTTTTTTTTTTTTTGCATTATGTAAGGTATAAGGATGCATTTCGAGAGTTAAGAGCTTGCATTTGTGAGCTCTCTTTATTTCTATTTGCTTTGTTTGCTTGCTTTGTTTGCTTGCTTGCTTGCTTGCTTGCTTCATTTACTTGCTTGCTTGCTTACTTGCTTCATTTACTTGCTTGCTTCATTTGCTTCATTTGCTTCATTTGCTTTACATGCATTTTATACACATGCATTTCGCAAATTATTCTAAGCTTTTTTTTTTTTATGTTGCATAAGGATACATTCACGAGCTCTCTTTATTTGCTTCATTTGCTTGCTTACTTTGTTTGCTTTGTTTGCTTGCTTGCTTTGTTTGCTTTATTTGCTTGCTTGCTTTGTTTGCTTCATTTGCATTATAATAGTTAATGACATCATTATTAATGACATCTTTATTGATGACATTATTATTAATGACAATATGTATATAGTTTGTAAGATAATTTTATTGATATAAGATAAACTTATAGAAATAAGATAACCTTATATGAATAAGATAACCTTATATAAATAAGATGACTTTATATGAATAAGATGACCTTATATAAATAAGATAACCTTATATAAATAAGATAATCTTATATAAATAAGATAACCTTATATGAATAAAATAATCTTATATAAATAAACTTATATATTGTTTAAAAATCTATATTTATTTATATAAATTAATGTTTATACTATTGTGACAAATATACTAATAATCAGTCATTCTATATATATTAAGAATGCTTAGATTTATAGATACAATATCTTTATTTGCATATTTTTACTAACAGCTTTATACTGTAACTATTCAGGCTTTACTATAACTGATATTAAGATATTCCAAGACTTTGTGTGAACTGATTTATTTAAATAGAAATAGAGAGGATATTTATATAAAATTAAAGAACGAAAAGACTTTGCTATAATGATAATAATTTAGTTATTATGAATTGCATAATACTACTAGAGAAGTGTTCTTACTACTATAGTAGGTGGTATACATCTTTAGTAGTATTCTCATTACTAAAGTGGGTAACTTATAGCTATAGATATGATCATATTGTATAAATAGTCAAAAGCAGGTAACTATAACTAAATCAGATATAGTAGTAAGTTCTTGGAAATCAAATAAATTAGAGATTAGCTATTACATCTAGGGGCTCAACTGGAAAAGGCTTATTCTTAAGACTAGATAAAAGCAAGATAATCTCATTTTCAATAGCTTGGCAGATTTGAGTAATCTTTACATAAGTGAGTTTATAATATTGATGGTTTTTCTGCAAAAGCTAGTAAGGAACTATTTATATCTCAAAAAGCATATATAAATTCTGTTAACCATCTCTTTCTCAAACCTAGATAGTATAGTTTCTTATCTTTGGTTTTGTTAGTATAGATTATGGATGTAACTTTAATAAAACCAAATCATAGTATCAGTTATTTAGCTTTGATAATATAATAATTTATGATATTGTTGGCTAAGTAATAGAAGTCTTTCAGAGTTTTCCTCTTAATTGAGGGGCATCCAGTTTATAGTCTCAGATCCCCTTATCAATGCTTCTTTTATGGCTTTTTCTATATTCTTCTTTAGGCTTTATTTGTTAGTTATAGTAGATCTTGATCTTACTTTAGTAGATTGGGGTAGAGAGAATAGAACTATTGAGTCTTCTAAGCCAAATTATACTTTCTTTTATAGTTTATATATAGTATGATCCTTCTTATTTTGGTTGTAATTTAGCTAACTATGATAATTCTATAATATTCCAGTATATGAGAACTTGATCTCCAATATATATAGAGATTATATTTACTTTTTTGTTTTAGTATATCTATTGTCTCTCCTATGCCTTGTTAATAAATACAGATGCCTTCTTTTGAATTAATTATAACTTGCTAATATCTCATATGACATAAGCCTATAAATAATTATCATATATCTTAATATCTTTTTCTAGATAGTAAAACTCTTAGTTAGGCAATCTCCTATATATAAGCTCAAAGGGGCTAAACTTTGTTAATACCTAATGGATAGTTTAGACTGTGAAAAGAGTACTATCAAGATAATAGTCCTATGATATCTCTTGATCAATAATCTTTGCTAAAACATTCTTGACTATCTGGTTAGTATATTTAGTTTAACTATTTTCTTGTGAGTAGTATGACATTGTTTGGATATACTTGATATGATAAGTTCACTCAAGTTCCCTGATCAGTTTATTTAGAAACTTTATACCTCAGTCACTAGTTATTTTCTTCAGTACTCTGTGTTTGCAGATAATGTTAGTATATAGAAACTTGGCTACTATCTATATATTTGCATCTTCAACTACTACTACTTCTAGATATTTTATAAAAAAATCAACTGCTAAAATAATATATCTTTTTTCTATCAATGTTACTGGTATGGGTTCTATAATGTCTATTCTGATATGTAAAAATAGCTTAGCCTTAATAGTTATAAAAGTAGCTTAGAGTATATCTTTTGCTCTTACTTATTTTTGGTATATATCACAATTCTATATAAAGTTGGTTATATTGTCTTGTATTTTGAGCTACTATACTGAATTTCTAAGTTGATATAAAGTATTGTCCTAGCCTATATATTTAGATAACAGATGATTATATACTAATAATAAAATATTTGATATTGTAACGAAATATTTTATAATGATACTAATTTTGATTATATAAGATTATAGTTATATAACTCTTAGTATTATTAAGAGTTTTAGTATTATTAAGAGTCTTAGCATTATTGAGATTTATAATATCACTATAACCTAAAATAGTATTTTAATCTAATATATTATTCTACTATCTAATTATATTATAACCTAATATATTATTTTATTATATCTTAGCCAATCAATTTATATCTTATATTTAGCCAAGCCAATCAGAAATTTGAGTAGTAATCTAGGTAGCTACCTATATAGTATCTTGTAATTTTTTATAAAATACTCTTATTAGAAAAATAGTTAATTAATCTACAAACTATTTTACTAAGAGCTGTAAACTATTTTACTAAGAGCTACAAACAAAATAGCTACAAATATAGATACTAGTTATAAACTATAAACTATTATTAGTAAACAGCTGCAAACAGCTACAAACTACCCTAGAACTTTGCTAGAATAATATCACAAACTACAAACTGGCTAAAACAGCCTGCAAACAGCCTGCAAACAGCCTATAAGTATAGATGCTAGTCATAGACTATAAACTGAAAATAGTTTCCTGATACTACTCACAATTAACAATAAAAATTCAGACTACAACAAGCTAAAGAAGCTTACAACAGATAACCTGAGGAATAGTAAAAGCCTTACTCAAGGAGTGAGCAATTGGGATAGTTTTGAAACTCTAACAGATACACTTTATTCAATTGATTACACTCATTCTTATTAGTTAACACTTATACAAACATATACTCTTCTTAAAATGCTACCATATAATCTGCTAAGACCCTTAAAACATATTTTCTATACTTGCTCTATTTTTGAGTATTTCACTATTAATATATTTTAGTCCATCACAATTAGTACCAACTGGTAGGAAATCAATCAATACCTTGACTAATTTATTACCTATATTGCATAACCAAACTAGCCAAAACCCATAGTAGAAGACAAAAGCAAGAACAGCACTACCACTACCACTACCTGTATTACTATATCTACCTAGAAGAAGACTTTAAGAGGATAAAGAAATCATATCAGATAGACTATCTACCTTTTATAGATATACTAAAGAGTATGTTTGAGAATTAGTAGATGATTTGAAAGCTAGTTTATAGCTAAAGGACTAGCCAGCACCTGATGGATTACTATCCTAGCTACCTAACTT